CACCCCCACTCCCCCCGCCCCTCAACCCACCCCAAGAAGAAGAAGAAGAAAATTTAGTAGGACCAGCACTCATGAACAATTATCATACTGCAAAAGAGACAAAAGGAAATGAGACATGTCACGTCTGTTGGTTCACGCGAACTCAATAGCTTTTGTATATATGTTAAGAATTTCACTAAATATTTAAATATTTAATTGTGAATCCAACTATTATTATATTAACTTTAAGTCGTTGTAAGGACCATAAAATATAAATCTTGAATTTAACTATAGTGTTGTACGAAAGTACAATAGTCGTCGTTTTTAAAAAATTAACATTGTGTTTCAATCGGTCCGATCGAGCACTCTGTCATAGTAATACTCTGCAGCATTTTGTGTACCAGTAGCTTTATAACAGTGATGTGTTTTGTGAAGGTATTAATACATATTTGCCTCAATATCTTTTTGTTGCTATCGTAAAATATTGTTATAAAAACATATAATATACCATAATATGGGATTCACTTTAATAGAGTAAAATGGATGGAAAGCATGCCTAACTAATTTGAGCTTAAATTTATGTAGAATGATTGAATGATCACACTCATAATTGTGATCATAATTAAGCTACAAATTATTATTTTTCTCTCCACCTAAGTCTTGTTTAATAATTTTGAAATTTTCATTTTGTCGATCCTAATGAAAATTAATGTCAACATCATGATTCATGAGTTGTAAATTGTTGCTCCACAAGACAAGGCTTTTTTAATCGAAAAAAAAAAAACTAATGAGATGTGATGCTTCAACCAACAACAAAAGCTATGGGATTAAAAATGGAGACGGACACGAAAAGATGCAAATCAATGTGTTATTTTTTTTAATGATAAAAGATCACAAACATTAGAAGATTGGCTATTTAAGATAAAGCTTTGACAAAATCGTATTTATTCTCCTTTCAAACGAAGCATATAGCTAACTTATGAAGCATTAACACAATTACATATTCAGTATAGTTTTATAAGTGAAGTTGAAGGACAATAATGTGCACACAGACCTTATAACTTATGTGTTGAAAAGTAAAAAGATTATTTTCGATAAAATCAATTAAAAAAAACAAAGCTTATGAAAAATTATCAAGAAGCAATGTGCCAGAAAAAAGAGCTAAAGGGGTCGTTTGGTAGTTAGTAAAGGAAATGTACTATTAATTTTCTTTTTAAAAATTATATGATGTT